AAATCACAATAAAAGCTGAAAATGAAGTATATTCCGAAATGGAAAAATGGTATCATATTTTCATTCACAAGAATTTACATTACTGTAGGAGCACTAGAGGTCATTCAGCAACTAGACAGAGGCCAAAACACACCAAAACTGCGAGTTTTCAAGCCACGATAACTCCACAGATATCTTGAAACTCAGCTTTGAAAAAAAGAAAAAAAAAATATTAAAAATATCTGACATGTCTGAAGTATAATATACATTTATTTTGGATCTCTCTGTCATTTGTAGAGAACCGTGGGCACATGGGCTGGGCAAGGTCGGTTGCAATGTACCTTTCCCATACAAAATCCTTTGTCTTGGCAGGTACCTCATGGGAATGAACATTCCACACTTCACAGTTCTGGGAGAATGGAAGGAAAAAAAATCCCACACTTTTTTATATGTGTGCCATTGTATCGTAGTAAAATATACAAAACTTAAGAGCTGTGCTCGAGTGCAGTACCTCCATATTGCAGTTATAATACCTATCGTGGGTGACGAAAGGCAGTCCCCCCGACTGTAGGTACGGTATTCCAACACAACCCTAACAACCCATCACCCCCTGTCACCCCTTTCCACTGACCATATTCATGGTCAGCACTGGTCACCGCCAACACTGCATAGTGCCGTATGGTTTATACGCGCGCTCGGGAGAACGACCAACCCCCGTTATGCATAGGTGTCAACCCGAATACCGGTATCATATCGTTATTACATTAGTAAGGAGACCTACCTATCATACCTCGGATCCACGAGGTGCCCCCCCCCCCATCTGCATGAGAAACGGGGGGAAATGCCGGTAAAAACAAAACAAGAACAAAACGAGAAAACATGGCGTTAACGGTACGGTATCGTATGAACGGTACTTTGAAGGGGAGGACAACCTCGACGCCCAAGATGAATTGCCCCCATTCCAGTTAATGTTAATCCGGTGGGCAAATTATGATATTATTAGTACCCGTACGGTATCATGCATACCTCCTGAGCTGGCCTCTTCCCCCCCCCACCACACACACACTGGGACAAACTATCGGTAATAGGGGCGATAGCTGTATGTTACCGCCCATAAGCATCATCCCAATCTCCCAATCTCCGGCAAATTATTGTAGAGATTGGTGATGCCAAGATTTTTGGCTGGGAACGTTAGGTGCTGTACAGTGCATTACCGTAGGCTGTTGTATACGGTTGGCTACGGTAATAGCTGCACCACTTACTACGGCACGAGGTCTGTACGAGTACTAGAAATTTTTTTAAGTCATCGTAATGGGAAAAGAGGAGTTACACTGCTATTGTGTAACTTAGAGCTTGGCAGAAAAACATCGCTTATGGTAAATCTGTGAGCGCTTTAAAGGAAGCAATTGTAAACAAATCTAGTAGAAGACTAAGAAAAAGGGATTTAGTCAAGCAGGCTTATAGAAAGAAAATTAAAATAGATAATAAATAATAGGAAAATTTGTGGCTAAAATAATAGTATGAGAAAGAAGACGCTGGCGAGAGGGGGGGTAAGGAGGGGTAGGGGGACAACAGGAGACTATGCATGAAAATTGTTACTACCATTAACAGCAATACAGCGAGCGAGGATTGTAGGCAGTTTAGCTACTTCTTTATTAATTTCTTCAATTGAAATACGATCCCACTCTTCCATTAATATACTCTTCATTTGAGATACAGATTTAACTCTTTCAACCCCTCGTCGAGTTTGAATACGACTTTTCATAAGAGCCCAGATGTGCTCAATGGGGTTGAGATCAGGTGAATTGGGAGGCCAATTAACCTTCTGAATGCCTTCTTTTTCTCGCTCTCTTGTTGTATAATGAGAGCTGTGTGATGGTGCATTATCCTCCATCAATATAAACAATGGATTTTGCTCAAGCCTGCGGTAACATTCAGGCCATAGAATCGGCCAGGCAACAGCCTTAACATACCGCCAAGAGTCTACCCCATTCCCATCACCCCGCTTGTAGTTTTCTATTTTATACATCTTCGCCCGCCAGGTCTGTGGTACCCGCTTTTTTGCTACCCCCTCATGCTTTTCCAAATGCCGTTGCATCTTATATGCCTGCTGCTCCACAATTTTCACTTGTGCCCACCCTGCAGATGCCCGCCAAGCTTCATTCAGTTGAGTTTCTTCCGTAACCCTTGCTGCTTCTAGTAGAGCAATAGTCTTTGCTGCTTCTTCTTTTTCATCGTCAGTTTCAGCTTCCCATACATGAAAAGGCCCCTTCCATCCCCATCCGATCATGCCCCAGCACATAACTGAAGTGCCTTGTTTTTTCATTGCCCCTACACAGTCACTATGCCATCGCTCAGTCTTGTCCCTCCATACAAGATTTAACCCGAACAATCCTCCTACTTCAATAGACATTTCATCGGTGAAGCCATAGTTGGCCCAATCTCTAATACTCCACGATTTTCTTTCATTGCAGTAGGCAAGTCTTATCACTTTGTTTTCAGGCTTCAGTATAAATTTAAATTCCTCCCGATAAGCCTTAATACCACGCTGGTGTAAGGCCTTCCAGACCGTGGTATTAGAAACATGAGATAGGCCAGATTCCCGACGGATATCCATCAGACTCATTCGCCGGGTAGTGAAGTTGCGTTTAACTGTACGGATAAGGTGATCTTTATTTGCCTCTGATAAGACAACCGGGCGGCCGGAGCGTGGGCGTGAATCTAAACATTTAGACAAGATTAATTCTAAAAGCGAAAACTGATCGGATGAATCCTCCACTTGTATAACCTCAAGTATATCCACACTCGACAAAGACTCTACAGCCTTGGACATTCCTTCTGCATGACCCAAGTCTTCCCCGATACACAATTCTGCCCTTGTATCCCGTAATAGTCCAACCACCGCACCTTCCTCTCTAGTATGCTCCAGCCTATTAATTTCCTCCATGGACCTTAGTGGAACTTCGCTCCCTGCAGGATTCTGAAAAACAGAACCATTTTGCGGAACGATCACTTCCGTCATGAGCATGGCCTCTCTGTTTTGAAATAGACGGAGATGGTCAATCGGGGTCGGGGGGCTGATAGGGGCAGCTGGGTCCGGGCGGGCGCTTCTGGGTTCGCTCTCCTCCGGGATGCTGCTGGCCTCCCCGCTCGGCTTTAGGGTGCTATCCCCTGTTTGGCAGGCCAGTCTATGCCCGGTCCGCGCTCCCGGGATATCCAGGCTCCTCTCAGGTGCTTCCGCAGTCCTGCCAGCTAGGGTTGGGCTCTCCGTTTCTTCTCGCCTCTGCCCATTCTGCCGGTGTGTATCGCTAAGCTCCCTAATTGCATTCTTCCAATTAGCTTTTTTCCTACTTTTTCTTGTATCTATTACCACTTGCCTCGCTCTAGAAATCCTCCTTAAATCACCCTCTTCTGAGACTCTCAGAGTATTAAATCCTACCTCTGAGAGTCTCAGAATCTCTTACTCCAAGGCCACCTCATCAGAGACCCTGATAAGACCTACGACAATTTCCGAAGCTCTCAACACCTGGCTCTCCAGATTAGCAACTCCCAGTTGCCCTGAAGAGCTTAAACCAGTCGCGTCCCCTTCATTTAGAGCAGGGAAAGAGCCCATTGTAAGACCCTGCAGTCCATTCTCCAAGTCATTCATCAAAGAATTGACCCCTGAATGAGGGAGGATATCTAATCCTCGCTCTGCAGAAGCCTGACTCGGAGCTGTTCTTGCTTGTAGTTCCTTTCTGGCTAATGTGGCTGCATTTTGTACCGCTCGCAAGTAAATGCCATTTGCGGTTGAAATAGCCACCCCAGTATGAGCTCTGATTGCCTGATACTCAAACCCAAGCTGACGCATAGTAACAATGGCTGCCCGCCTCCTTGGTGTGATCTCCTTTCCTATATTCATGTCAGCTAATCTCTTATATATGACTTGAGATTTACCTACGTTTTATGAGCTCTGGAGGGGCCATTGTGCTATCGTTTGTTGGTGTGGAAGGTGGTGAAGTCACTAACTGCGCGCACTCCTGGATTGGCCATAAGCGATGTTTCTGCCAAGCTCTAGGTTACACAATGGCCGGGTAACTCCTCTTTTCCCATTACGATGACTTAAAAAATTTTCTAGTACTATCGTGCGAGAACCGATGAGACAAGTACAATACCCCAGTACCCTCGATGGGGAACTTCTGGAATTAGCAGGGACCTCCGGCGGACCCAATAGTCCCCCAGAAATAAATTTGTAGAGCGGGATAGGAAATCACAAGCAGCAACTCTCCTCAGGTTTCTCCCGCCCAACCCCCCCCGGAACAGAACCGGATAGAAATCAAAACCTACGAGTGCCCGTGATTCGAACTGATTCACACCACTTTTACGGGAAACTGCGTCCGTGGCTCCACCCGTCTTTTTACGACGACAAACGGAGCAAAACCACGAGCAAGCGCTCAAAAGCCCGCAATAAGACCCAGGCAGCAGGCAGTACCAGGCACACGAGAATACTTATCCAGCCTAGCGGCTGCGGAACGGCGCATCACAATTTCTCACTCCCTTGCTTGGCCGATAATAGTGATAAGTGATATAGGGGCATCGTGCACAGGACTGAAAAAGTGCAAAAAAACCGCTCACTTTCCAGAAAGGCCCCAGTGACACAAACTCACCCGGTTGACAGGGGAAAGGGATGCCCTCACAGGGATCGCACCAGGCACGGCAACAACAACAAAACTGAGACAGTGGGAAAAGAACGAGGAGCCACAGTAAGACGATCCACGGGTAATACCGTACCTGTACCACACACGCTCATACCAGATCACGATCAAGATTGCCGACGTATCCAAGTCGGGTCACCCGGCAGAAGAAGAAAAAGAAAAAGCACAGCTTAATTATGGTATCGTAAAACACAAAAAGGAGAAATACTTGTTCTCAGAAACGGGCTTGTTTTCACACACACACACCCTTCACCTTCTCAAAGTCCACTGCCCATCCAACTCGAATCACCCCCAAGCCCAAGAATCTATAATGGAAGAGAGAAAGAGAAAGGGAGAACCCAAATAATTCACAACTAAAAATTACACAAAACGCGAACCAACACCCTTATGTAATAAGTTATAACCACACCACGTTTGCCAGTACCAAGCCAACCAAACCGACAGAATTGAAAAACCACTCCCCATCACAAATAAATGTTTTTCCCAGCAAAAGCAGAAGAAAGTAGATAGAAAAGTCGTCCATCATCAAAGCGGTCGATGGAACGCTCGCTGCTTACAAGAAGAGGGCAGCGACAGCAACACCGACAGCCAAGACAGAGAAGCTCTGGATGGAAGCGGAACCGGTGTAGGTTGGCGGGGTGGTTGGCGCAACCGGGACGGAGGTGTTCTTGGATGGGTATGTTGGAACACCGGTACCAGAAGGAACGTACGGGAGACCAGTTCCAGGGATGGCAATTGGCTTGCTGGTCGTGGTGGGATACGGGCACTAGATATCATAATTAGCCGACATTAACACTAGACAGTATTTGGCAGCGGGAGAACAAACGTTAGGACCACCCGGGCAGACCGGGGCCGGAGGACAGTGGGGTGCGCCTGGGCAGACAGGCTTGCTGGAAGGAGCGGGTTGAACATAGGTACCGTTAGGGGAGATGGGGGTACTGTAACCAGAGCTAGGAACCGGATAAGTCGGGGGGCACTAATCGAATCCACGTTAACAAGTCACTCCAAGCTTCATATCAACCGAGTCGAGATGAACATACGTGAGGAGCGCCAGGGCAGACGGGAGTCACGACGGGAGGAGAGCTGACGACCGGAGAAGAGGTAGGCTTTCCGGGGCAGTTGGTCTTCTCAGGCGCGCAAGAGGTGATGGTGACAACCTCGGTCTGGTAGACAACACTGCCAGGCAAAGCCATAGCAGTGGCACCGAAGAGAGCGGCGGAAACGGCGATGGTAGAGAAGCGCATTTTGATTGTTTGTGTTGTGAAAAAGGGTACTTGTTTATAAAGAGTTTTCCGTATAGATTCCCGGGGAGGAAAATAAAGGTGAGAGGGAAGAAATTAGAGTGAAAAAAGCTTTTTTATATAAAGAGTGTGGGGGGTTGTTAAAAGAGTGACTGGGAGAGCGGGTTGGACGCGGTGGACTGTGAGTGGTGAAGAGGGAAGGAAAGAAGAGAAGGCCATAAGGGGGGACTCGAGGGCATCCTTATAGGCATTGAGTGAGCATCGGGATAGGGGGCAAGGAACCCAAGATTGGATTAGGGTGGGAAGAGAGGAGAGGGGAGGATCCATTGCGAACAAGGGCAATAGCGGTAACCAGAGGAGAGAGAGAGAGAGGCAGAGGGAACTTTCAATCTCGGGCCACAATCCACAATCTGCAAAGCCAATCACCCTCAATTTCCCATCCCTGCACCGGATCCCGGGGTCGAGCACACGCCCAATCCAGTCCAGTCCAGTACGCTCCAAATCCAGTCAATAGAGAGAGCCAGGAGCGGCAAATCATTCCCTCATCCCATCACCCTTCCAGGACAACAAAGCAAAAAAAAACCGTTTAACCATTCTCCCTCGCCGAACCAGCCAAATCTGCCCCTCGAGCGAGCCAGGAACCAGTGACAGTCCACAGGAAGTGCAGATAAATAAATAAATATTAAAAAAACAAATCACAACGGCAACGGTACCTGATCCCCCTCATTACCTTCCCTTCCCGCCAAGACCTTCCCAATCCAACTCAAATGAGGGCCAACATCCTCGCCAAGCAATCTATCTCCACCAATCGGGCTGGCAGAGGAACGGAGTCGTCCGCTCCGTTTCACCAGCCTGCAGGATAGGTACAGTACAGCGCCGGTACAAGTAGGGGAAGTCAGGAACGGGCAGACGGAGGAAGGAAGGAGAGGAAGTGAGGGGAATGGAAGGGGACCCTTCTGGACGATCCTAATTTCCGCACTCTGCTGCTGCGACATGCGCGGGCGGCGAGGGAAGGAGCGGTCAATCCTCCAACATGCATGCAGCCTGCTACAGGTATTGTACAAGTACAGGTGCAGTACCATATCAGACACTTTTACTCGAGTACTCGTACAATCGCTTCCATACAAACTTGAACGGACTGAATGTGCTGTACTAGTACTGTACTCGTACGGTGCTTGCTACGCAATTTCACATCCACCCATCCAAACAACCAAGGAATCACCAAAGGCCGAAATACCCCATCTTCCCACTCTCCCCCCCCACCCAGTACGATACGGCACGAGTACTGTACTCGAGTACATACCGGTATTGTAGCCCAGCAAAGTTAAGTCACAAAGTCAGCGAAAACTCAAATCTAAACATACGGTAGATCCCACCTCCCCCCACCCCCCAATTCTGCAACACACGCACTCACTTCCCGTCCCTCCATAATAAAAGGAGGATCCATCAACCAGCATCGGAGCCAAGACCAGACCTCCTTTCCAATTTTTTTCCTTCCTTTTTCCATCAGTTTTTTTTGTGCCCTTTTCACCATTTGCCCTCGAGCGTGGAGTGCCGGTACCGTGCAGTATTCATGAGTTGTACGAGTACTGTAAGTTGTGAGTGTGTGGGTGGGTGGGACGGACGCAGTGCGCCATGCCGTGCCATACCATGCGGTATCACTCGAAAACCTTATTGTGCGGGTATGTATGGTACTTTCGAAAATGTTGATGCAGCGTACCCGCTACCGGTACTCTATCGCACACCGGTACTCGAGTACTCTACGGAGTACATGTACCGCCAAAATTTGGCCCTTTTGCCTGGGTTCCGGATGGCATACGATAGCGCTGCTTTTTCAAAAAATGCTTCGGCGCTACTACGGTACGGTAGTTGGACGCAATGGATGGATGGACGCACGGGGTGTGAACTGGCATTCGAGGGATCGATTGGTTGGTTGGTGGATAGGTACTTGCACGAGTACTGTACATGTACTTGTACAATAGAGCACGATACCCTGTCGTGGTTTACCGTACAGTACCGTATCCTTACGAAGGGGCAAACAGGCCAGCGACCGATAGGGTAAACGCGGCTACCGCCTCATTTTTGCGCGTGAAGTACGGTATGATATCTTGGATTGGATTTTGTGGGGGGGACTCGGCTGGACCAGATAGAGCGTGAAACCGTACCTCCCCCCCGAGTTTAAAGACTGAGAAGAGATGATGCTCACCAAACTACTATACAATCCGGGAAAAGGGTGAAGGAAGGGAGATAGTATCTACAGCGCACAGAGAGGAAGGAGGGACAGCCAGAAGGAAAAGCCCAAAGAAAGTAAAAGAGATGATAACCCAAGAAAAAAAAAAAAAAGAATACAAATGTCAGACAAATAAAACAGACCCAGATCGAGTAAACTTTTGTGTAAACCTTTCTTCTTTTCTTTTCCTTTTTTTCTTTTCATCACCGGACTCAACTCAATTCACCGCCAACAATGTCCCAGGTTGGTCTTGTGCCAAAGATAACGTGCCGCTAAGGAAAAGCCTAGATACCGCAACCCACACAAAAGGAAAAATAGGAAAGGGAGAGGAAAAGCTTTCTTGTTGCGCCTGCTGATCCCTGGAATACCGCCGAGAACGAGATGGAGAGAGGAATAGAGAAAGCAAGAAGACAAAAGTAAACAAGGAAGGAGATTACCGAAATTTGATCCACAGTGAGACGAAAAAGGACTTACCGGGAGAATTCAAAACCCATACGGTACTTAAATGTAACAAAACAAACTTCCATCCTCTACTGCAATCCCCCAATACAGCGCTCAACGACCACCCGCGGGTAAGGTTTGCACACTCGCTCTTCTATTTCTTTGGCCCGGATCCAGTAGCACCCCCGCGCCTCTTAGGGTTAGCTCTTGCAGGCTTCTTCTTTGGAGCCGTGGGTTCGCTGCCTTCGATGAATTTGATGAGTTCGTCGATACTCCTAGAGTCCATTCTGCCCAACCCGGACGCTGAAGTCGTTGATTCAGCTACTCCGTGCGGAGTGACAGATCCTTGACCAACCTGGGGTTGCGGACGGGTCGACATAGTTACGTGGGGCGCCATGGAGAATCCCCGTTTCTTCCGCTCCTGAATGTCCTTTGCCTGCTTCGCCAGGAGCACAGCGTTCTGAGTGAGCTGATCGAGCCAGCTCTCGGCCTCCTTAGTGTTGCGGTCATCCGGTCCAAGCTTCGCGTGGAAGACGTTGTAGGCATCGCGCATCCTGTTGACGGCTCCCTTAGAATCATGGTCGAGGGCAAGGGCCTGCGCGAGCTGAAAGTACAGCGTGGCCGTATGCGGGGATTGCTTCCCAAAAATGGATTCACAAACGGCCAAGGATGCCTCAAACCACTTCCGGGAGTCGGTGTAATACTTCAGTGCTTGAAGCATTACTGCGACGTTGTTCATTGTCGTGACCGAATCGGGGTGTGCCTGGCCGTATATAATCCTCCAGAAGCCGAGTGCATGCTTGATGTAAGCCAGGGCTGCCTTAGTGCTTCCGTTCGCATGCTCAAAGAGTCCCAAGTTGAGGTAATTGAGCAGCGTCTCGGCAGAATCAATTCCTAATGTCCTCTCCGATACAATCACTGCCTTTCTGGCCAGTTCTACAGCAGCTGTCTTCTCATCTAGTTGGTAATACAGCATGGAAAGTGTGTTGTAAACACGGGCTACCTCGGGATGCAACACCCCATAGATTTGTTCGTGCAATGAAAGCGATTCGAGAAGGAGTTCCTGGCCCATTTCCTTGTGATCTTGAATGAGCGACATTCGGCCGGCCTCGAGCGCCTCCTCAGCCAACAGACTCTGCGGGATTGTCTCGTTAGTAAGTGACCAGCTAATCAATGTAAAACCGCCACAATCAGTTAGAGTACCTTAGAAGATGAATCCTTGACAACTGGTACCACGTTCATAATATCCTCGGGATCAAAAGTGGTGGAGGGGCCCTTGGGAACAGGCACCTCATGTATCGATGCCACGGGCGACTTCTTCTTGCTGCCCGACTTGCCCTTTGGATTTCCATTAGTAGATGGTGATGCCTCACTATTAACCTTTGCGGCCACTTGTGAGGGTTTAGGAGAGCCGAATTCATAATGCCTGATTTTCATTTGGAGACCAAACTTGAGAGCAATCTCCCGAAGCATTTGTAGATGTTTGATACCGCTGATCCAATTCTCCTGAAGACTGTGCCGATACCTCCTGCCGACCTCCTTTTCAATCCTCGCCCGGAGTCCCTCGATAGTCAATTTCTCGAAACCAAAGTCGGCATCATGATATAGCTTCCAGAGGCCCTCATCCGGGGTAACAGTTGGGTTGGGGTTGTGCCCGGCGCCCAGAAGGCAGTTAAGGAAATGCGAAACACAGAAGGGAACCAATGGGCCAGGGAGGCCACGGAGCATGGCATTCAAAATATGCTTGCACGCCCTGGAAATCATCTCCTGAACGGCAAGGGTCTTGATGGAGCCTAATTTGGTCCCTTCCTCATCCGCCAAAGAGGCGATATTTCCAAGATAGCGAACATTGATACCCCGCTTGTGCATGAGGCGGGAAAGAGAGTGGCCGTCCATGGGTGACCCAACCTCACCTTCGGCCAAATCGGAAATCTGACGATGCACGTTAACTGATACGTCTTTTAGGGGGGGCGAAGAAAATGTTACCAATCTTGGTATTGCCATTGTTAATAGAAAATTGCAAGCATCTCTGACATCTTTCTCGTCTTTCTCCATTTGCGCCTTTTCCTCCTCCGTCTCTGGTTGTTGGCCGGAGAAGACATCAGGATTGAGTGAGAATTCGAAGCCAGAAATATCAATGCCAGTACTATTGTCTGGTTCCTCAGGCTTCTTCTCTTGGGCCTCTTCCTCGGGCTGCTTTTCCATAGTGTCAGCATTTACTTTGTTTTACCAGTTTTCGTGGGACCAACCTTCTCAGCATCTTCACTCTTGGCCTCGTCCTCCTTCCCAGAATTGGCCTTCACCTCATCAGCCTTCTTCTGCTCCTCCTCCTTGGCCACTTTTCGCTTCACCATTTCAGCAGAAACATACTCCCGCATTTTAGTCTTCCAGAAACTCTCTACAAGTTCTGGCCTAAGGACGGCCATCCTATGGGGATACCCTTTCTCCGCCTCTTCACCCTCAGCCCCTTTCCAGTGTTTCTCCAAAAAGTCCACATCCAAAGGTGTGGTCCTATACAGGTCCAAAACATATTTCCTCCCGTCAGTCCCAAGTAAACCCTTGGTCTCCACAGAGGCTACGAGCTCATGTTTCTTTCCCTCCTTGTCCCAGACATTATGCTTCTTGACCCTCATAGCTTGACTCATTTTCTCAAAAAGCGGAACAAACGATTCAGTGGTGGCAACAACGTCCTTGCCCTCGACACCACCATAATCAATCTGGCTCTGACCCTCCTCCCGTGGCCTGAATATTCCCGGCACAATACTCTGGGCCACCAACCTCCTCCCAAGGTAATCCACAATGACAGTTCCAGGTGTAGACAGCCCCGGAATATCTAATCCGTTAACGTACTTGACGCCCATAACATCCTTTCCGGTAGCCACCCGAGCAGCTTCGTCACCACCCTCGCTAGCAAATGTGCCGACACCATCTGCGCCGTATGAAAAGAAAATGTTGTTATAAACATAAATCTGGGCGTCTCTTCCCTCGGTAGGATTTAGCGGGGCCACTTCACCCTTAGCAATCAGAACAACCCCGCGGACGGCGGCGTCAGTGTAGTCGGCGAACAGCTTGGATAGAAGTCTCTCGCGGAACACACGCTCCTGCACAGTCTCCCTATGAAGTTCCCGGGTAGACTGAAACTCCTCATTGAAGTCCCGGAGGGAATCAACATTCTCAGTTCCAGCGATCAAATAGGTTTCTTGAGGACGGGCAACGTCAGACTGATGATTATAATATTTCGTATCTGGTCCCGGAACCAACCATGGCGCTGCCGGAATAGCATTTGTGGGTGCAAAGGTGACCAAAGCTTCTTTCTTAGCGTTCCATTCTTGCAACGCACGGAATTCCTTGTTGAAGGATGGGGAAATCAATCCCAAGAGAGTGATTAGCGAGTGTGCGAAGAAATCCTTGGGAGCGGGCTTGGGCGCAGGATCAAATTTGTTACTGCTAGACCGGTTGACGTAGAACCCAGATACGTGTGAAGTGACATGGAATTGTTCTCCCTCCAGTGTAGTAACCTGAACATAAATCAAGTGTCCCTTCTGACGGAGGTGGTGCGGTGGAGGGTTCCAGGGCGATAACGCAATGCTCTTGACACACTTTGGTGCCTGGGTATCCGTGATTTTTGGAAGGAATTGGTCCAGCGAAGCCGGTGCATCAAAGTCGAAGTTAGCCATAGGTTGAGGGCCCTCTGTGCTCGGCTTCTTGGTGTCATTTCCCTCCTCGACATTGATTCCGTCAAATAGACATAGACCGGCATTGATCCCATTGACAAGATCTATACGGGGCCCAGCAGCACCAATCAACTCCCGTACTCGTAATAAATGCTGCCTAGCCTCCTTCTCTGTATATGGGTCTTCCACCAGAATAAGTTCAGAGTCTGGTGTGATTCCCGGAACGTCCGACAGCTCAACAAAGTCGCTAATCCGAGTGTGGTTGTGCTCGAGGTGAAAGCACGTGTATTGGAAGGTGTCTGGCAACTCAATGACTGACTGACGGATGTCCTGTACTTGCTCCGAGGTCGATACCTACACGGGAGAACTCGGTCAGAAACAAGGAAAGGGAAGAAAAACAAAAAGAAGTGCTATTTATTGCAATCTTTCTACGCTTCGTGACCCACCATTATTTGCATGCTCTTTGGGTGGTGGGGGAGCTTGACAGTCAGTTGGAAAACTAATAAATCCATAGTTAGCCCGTTCCATTACCTCGGGCTAGCGCAGCGGTGCAGTTTCGATGGGGAAAAAAAACAAAAAAAACACCCCGCCATAGTAATCTACCCCGCGTTTCTCATACATGGATTGGCAACTCACGATCATGAAGTTGAGGAGCAGTAGCCTCATCTTGAGAAATCTCTCCCTTCCCAGTTCCTTCAGTGGTAGGTTGAGAAGTAACCCTGCTAGAGCCTATTGGTGGCGGTGTTCCTTCGTCAGTTTAACCATTTTCTTGGTAGAAACGACCCCCATGTTCCCCTTCCCCGCAAAATAGTGACTCCATTGGGAAGCAAGGGATTGGGGACCGAGCGATTGAGCGAAAGGAAATAGCGCAATGGGTGAATACTCACTCGCGTTGAGAGCCTCTTCCCCAGTATGGATTTCCTCAGATGTGTTTGCCATAGTAATGGAGAGAATAGGGTTGAAATGAGGGTGAGACGAAGAAAAACGTCGGGTAATGAAATAAGGATTACAGATCCAGACTCCGCGGTCCCCTCGGCACAGGATTTGCAGGGAGATATGAACCTTCCTCTTTTTTTGATTCAAATGGGGACCTAAGAAGGAAAAAAAACAAAAAACAGGATGAGAAGGGAACGGGAATACCGGTAGAAGAGTGGGTTTTCTCTTTTTCCTCGAAGGGTCGGTGAAGGATGAAGGGAAGTGAGAAGGAAAGTGTTCGACTTTATCTTATTTTATTGTGCCCACTCCAATGGCACTGGGCTTTAGTGCTGCCGCTACCTTTTTTTTTTTTGCCCCTGGTCCTTCTCTTCTCCCCAGAACCCTCATGCGCCCACAAAAAAGATAAGGGCCAAGATGGACCCTCGGAACTCTTAACCCTCCGCACAAAACTTTTCCGGTGGTCTTCGGTAAATCCTTTGGGGGTTTGCAAGGGATAACGGTGGAATCATGAACATTTGTAGAAAGAGAAAAACTCAACGAATTACGGGTGACAATTGGCTCTGCGCAGTGCTCGAGCTCTGTGCATCATGATACAGTACTGCACCGTACTAGAGTACGAGTTATGTGAGCACCGGTATTGGCATGGTGATCAGGATGCGCGTGAAAGTTCACGACCAAAACACTTCCGGTTCCATAGACGATTAGAGTAGATTTAATTTGTGGTGTCTACCACTCATTTAACTATCGTCTCTGTTAACATTTGTTGGTTCCGTCGGGGAGTCCCAACTCGCTGGAAATTTCAACTTCCCCGAGATTGACACTCTCTCCGTTTGCTGCGCAAGCGTGACTATTGGATTAGATTTATCGCCGAATTTCGCCAAACCCACTTATTTGTAGTCTAACTTTCAACATCCGAACCCGGGCCTCTATATGAACAGGACATCCACCACCACCACCATCGCAATACCGAAACGGACCAGCGCGGATAGATAGACAAAAAGCTAGTCGCGAGTCTGTACTACGAAATAAGGACAGCATGATATATACGTTCTGATAAGAAAGGGAGAGTAGGAGCAAAGGAACAAGGAAGATGAAAGGAATGGAAATATATCGATAAGAAAACTGTTTAAAGGAATGTGCTTTTCCGGCTGAGCCGATGGGCGCAAGTCGGCCTCCGAGCCTATCGAGAATGTCTGTGGGTATGGATCGCGGGCCGCCGCAGCCGCCGATGGTGCAGGTGCAGGTGCGGGTAGCGGTGACGTCCGGCGGGTATCAAATCTGGGAATGATGGTGAGTATGGTATTTACTATGCGTTCATGGGAATTGGTCACCCTAAGAATCGTCCTTTCCTTCCTCTTTCCTATTTTCACGATCGCCGTGGGTAACATCAAAATGTACTGATTTCTCAACACTGCCCTTGTAATTTTTAACGACCATGTTGTATTTTCCGCCATACCAAAGATCCTGTTCGCTTGGTTAGCACCCACCGCAGACTAATATTCGCGGGCGAGTTTTCAAAATATTTACCTTGATAGTCAATTCCTTTGTTCTGCCCAAGCTCTCAATCTCACTGATTCTCTCAAGGGTATCTTCCAAGTACTGGGCAAAGCCAGGTTCTCCGCAAACCTCTCGAAAGGCATTCTGCATGGGTACCGAATCGGCTCTTACACGTGCCTTGGAATCAATGGTGAAAATATTGAGGTGGTCAAACTCCTCAATGAATTCCGTCCGAGTCATAATTTGTCTGGCCCTGTATAAAGGCACCTCGGGTAATTCGTGGCCAACCTCAGGATTGTAGTGGCCGCATTCACCAGCATCCTTCTTCTCCATGTCTACTAGATACTTGACGAGAACCATGGCGGAAGATGCAAACTTCTGTTGGTCCATTACATCATCATCCATGGCGGAACCAAGAAGGCCGCATTTGTTCTTGTACAGAACCCCAATCAGTAATGGTCAACGTGATAGCAGCAAAGTGGTGACCAAACCAGTAACCAAGTTTTCTCAATTTTGCAGATTTCCTTGCATTTGGCTATCATATCCTCTTCCCGAGCAACTTTGTTCAGGAAGGCGAGTCTTCCGCCCACCAGTTCATACACTCGTTCCAATACATCAATACTTGCCATTTCGTGCTTGAATTTTGCTCGGTAATTTTTCAGTGCCGTGATAGCCTTTCCCTTGGAGAGGTCCCCAACGGATATGAGCTCCATTCTTGACCCGTATTGCTTTAGGCGCTCGTAAACCCTATGCCACTACATTGGCCCTGCCGTAGGATAAACCGAGTGGTTAGGGGAAACGCACCAGTAATCGTCACTGTTGAAAATCATAGTAACCAACCCACTAGCGGCCCAAGATTCCGCTTTCTGCTGCAGTAATTCTAGCAGATCTTTCCCATCCTCGTCATTGCGTAATAAATGCATGCTGTTAATAATCATGATGAGAGGTTTACCGGATGCCTTTCTGCGTGTTAGCGCTACCTTTTCGAGTTTGTTCAGTGCGCGTTCGATGTCAAGGAGGGCCGTTGTATCGCGAGGTCCACGGATGGAAAACAGGGAGCCGATATAATCTTCATGCTGTTATGGATCTCAGTATCAAAGCAGTGGGTTTGATGGAGAGGGAGGAGGTACAAATTCAAAATCAAGAGCTTTGCCAAGTCGGATTCGGAAGATTTCAGGGTCTGCATGGGCTTCCATTATAGAGCAAGCTTCGCCTTTGGTTTTGTGCATCGCGCTTGGTAGATTTTAGCTGAGTGTCGATAGGATCCGATAAAAGATTCTGCACTTACGCAAGCAGCATTGATGTTTTTCCGGTTCCCTTTTGAAGAACTCAGCATCGGGCATCATAGGTTCTGTTTTGAGGAGGTTATCACCTTTTCACCAATGAGCAAATAATAGTGTCCTTCTTCCTTTCCGCTTACAATGCTATCGATCCTGTCTTGTGCCTCTAACATCACCCTGGAAGCACAATTATTAGTCCCTGTAGTTGCCACGGATTCCGGAGCCTTAAGTATCAACAACGGGCAAGTGGAAATCAGGAGAGCAATCAACTTGGCCGGGCAAATGTCCATCCCTAAACGGGAAATCGGAGAACAGCATGCAAGAAATTCCAAAAGGCTTCGGATTGCGGGGGTGCTTGAAAGGAAGAGGATTGGGTTACGGAAGAAAGTGAGTGGGATGTTTTGTGGAAGAGTCGAAGGGTTCGGGATACCATGGCTCTTCACTATCACTGTTGCCAGCCGTAGCCATGTTCAATGCCGGATCTCCTTGCTTGAATGCATTATCGATTTTCTGTAAGACGAGTCTTTTGTAGTACTTGTGATAAGAATATCCGGCTAAGCTAAAGGTAAAATTTCCAGAATATCAGCCATAGCAGTCAACATTGGAGATTGTTTCCATACCCTAATATCGCGAGAGACGCCCCAGTTGTGGCCGCGGATTCAAATATTTTCCATGCAGTCCTTTTCAATTTGTGTTTTTTATCGTCCTCTTCTCTAGGTGGAGGTTTCCCCCTTCCTCCCCCATTACCCCCTCCATTGCCATCATCGTCTCCTGGAGACCCGTGATACATTCCACTCCCGCGGATTCCTCCCCCAGTCTGGTCACCCCCCGGTGCTGCCATATCCTCGACGTATCCCCATTTCTGTGTGCTCGGTTGTGGTTGCAAGTCGGTGCTGGGACCAAATTGATAATCGTTGCCACCTCCGACGCTGGTGCGATGATTTGTGTTCCACCGCCTCTGTTGCCGGATGCTGGGGAGCAACGACCCATGCGGTGGGCTCTTGGCGCTAAAAAGTATGGAGCGACAGGTCCGTCGGAAAGAACGGGGTATCATCGTCGCCATGCTCGAAATGCAATGGAATATAGCGAGATCGGTGAAAAGGAGTTCCCAATCAACAAGAGGATATCAATTGATGCTTTTTGCTCCGCCCTCCTCTTTTAAGCCGGGTTTGTTGTTGAAGGGGGGGGGGGGGTTGAAACACGGGGATGAGGGCCGGTACGTTAAAAGGGTCCACCCAAAGAATGGGGTCCAGACTCTAAATTGAAGGGGCTCTGATACAATACAAGTAAAACTTGCGCTTGGACTCGAGATCAGCAACCAGGGTCCGGGGGGGCAGAAGACTTGGATCGCCCCTCCGGGCGGAGAATACTTGTGATGATGATGGTGTGCCGTACCGATGGATTCCTTTTCTTCTTCTTCGCACGGTAGGGGGATGCCGAAGTGGCTGAGAGGGAAGGGGAAAGGTCACAAGAAAGGGGATAAGCAGAGTAACCGAAATTACGGTGAATATGTCATGACGAGATCTTGTGCTTGAGAATATCGATGCTAAAAGGCGGAACGTGGTTACGGTAGTCTTCTGTCCAGGGGGCACCTGCGTTCCTCCGGGGAATAGTTCCTATCAAATTGGTGGACATCAAAGACGGTGCGGTGGGAGAAAGCCATTTTTAACCCTCACGTCTATGCTTGAGTGGGCCTTCTATTTGGGGGGGGTTCGAAGTGATTTGTGATACGGTATCGCTCCCGGGGGTTCCGATAGGATTCAGGTTGCAGCGATGAATTGAGAAAGGACATAGAAAGTGCTTATTGTTTTCAGCTTGTTCCTCCCCCCCAGGTCCAGGAAATATCGGGGTGTAACCCACGATGCGGCCTCTCGGGGGGCGGTAACCTTGGAACACGAAGTCGGGGATTGATCAACCGATCCGGGGAATCATCTACCGGTACAGTGCAGTGCGTTAGTCAAGCTACAGGCCAGCGGGAAATCGGCAGGAATGGATGAAATGGTTGGGCAAAAACCGGTGCGTGGTTTGCCGTGCCTGTATGATAACCCTGTGTGGTATCTATCATACGGTACCAGTGGTGCGGTATCGGGGGTGGGGAGATGCCACTGCCTCAGGAGTTTGGCCTGGGTTCATGGAAGCAAGACATGACACGCAGTCACGGAGAGAGGGCTGAGTTATGCTCGTAGTATGCGCTAGTATGTGATAAACAGTGATCGATGATGGCAACCTGAATACTCCTGGAGGATGTACTAGTACTTGTACTTGTACCGCACGCTGTGATTGTGATGCGTGACAATTGAGATCAGAGCTGTAAGGGAGGACCCTCGGAAGCATAGGTAGGGTTCCCATACTGTACCACCGAAGCGCCCTTGAAGGAGCGACAAATTTTATTGTGCTACAGTGGGGCTCACGGCTCTCTTGCCCGGACTGGCCAGCCTTTGTCGCACGTGGGAGCCATGGTCGTCGACGGTGCCGGTGTTTCACTGCCACACCTCGGTCCCTAGACCTTTCTTAAGCCACATGTTGATCATTCGTGAAATCTTGTGCCACACCCTTGACGTATGATAAGGTCGCGTCAACCCCATCCCGTCCCTGACCTTGAACCTCCTGCGCTGGACCCTTTCAACCTCCTTTTTGCAACCTCTCCACCATCTCTCTCCACCGGATTTCCTCTCCCAACAGAGAAGAACAGAGCAATAAACGGATACACCTGACATTTGATGCTCCAGCAATGGCTTCACCAGAACCCTCTGCCCACGGAGCCGAAAAACTCGATGACGACGACGTCATCCCCCAACCTTCATCCCGTTCGCCCACTTTGCCAGGTACTAGCCTGCTACTTTCACCAACGGACCTCCTGATACTGGCAGCCTCCTTCTACCCTTTAACCCTTATAGCTGGGTCGGTCTTCTCGGCTTGTTCGCCCTCGCCAGCATCTGCAGACTCCCACTTCTCCCGCAAACGCAATCCCTTCAACGTCTTCTTCGTCAAGTATGGATGGCTATGGACTACTCTGGTCTTTCTAATACACGCCAGCCGTCTTCGGTCTTCATCAAAAGCTAGAGCGCTGTTACGGTATGCCGTTGCAACTATCTGGTGGGTTTTAGTTACCCGGTGGTTTTTTGGCCCACCGATAATGGATCAGTTGTTTTTGGCCACGAGGGGCAAATGTCAGCCGGCCGACCCTGACCCCATGCATGCAGAGGAGGAGGTGGGCACTGCTCAGATGATTTTCACCAGCGCTGCCTGTAAGGTTGCGGGTGGGAAATGGAGTGGCGGTCACGATCTTAGTGGCCACGTGTTTCTGCTTACTCATGCTAGCTTGTTTTTGTGGAGCGAGCTTTTGCCCACCCTGATACATTCGGGAACTGCTGGGCGGGAAAGCGCAGGGGTTTCGTGGAGCGAGATTTTTCCCATCCTGATCCGTTCGGCGGCTGCCAGGCGGGAAAACGCGGGCGGTTTGGCGCTACTAGTACTGTGGTGGTGGATGCTGTTGATGACGGGCGTATACTTCCACACATGGCTAGAGAAGGTTAGCTCCCCACTTATAACTGGTATTACGAGTGCTTTTGCGTGGTGTTATACGGGTGCTAATTATGTCTTGATGGTTAGGCAACTGGTTGGATCGCCGGGATAGCCCAATGGGCGGTGTTGTATGTGTGGGCACTGAGGTCGCACCCCACCGTCCGGAGCATTTTTGGAGTTCCGGGTATCTAATTCTTTTGCCCAGTGTGGGCTAATGGTTTCGCTGTTAAAGGTAGTGGTTGCGGAGGGATAGACGGATCGCTTTTCAGTTATCAATGTGACTTTTTATTTTATTTTTAAATTTCATTTTCCATTCCCCCCCCTTTTTTTTTTACCAGTGTATCTTTGTGTTTCTAATCATGTGGCCAAGTGTTATGTTTAAATCGAGCGCTCTGCTTCTATGTAGGTTAGTAGGACCTGGGTTGTACATGTAGATATCATAAGAGTAGATATACCAAGTCTCTGGTATTTCTCTTTCCCCGGCAGCTGGTTGCAGTCTCGTAAACATCGGATATCACTGAAGCACGACGTCGGCTTCCGCATAGCACTCATGTGAAGACGAACGGGAGGGAGGTCCGCAAGCTCGCCCACTCACCACAAATCATTCCTTTCTCCTACCCTCCAGGATATCCTTCATAGAAATCTCCCCGGTACCCCTCGGCAAAGGCTTTGGTTGATTCTCACCCTCCTTCCAGCCAATCTGTCTCCCAATCAGCCAATCACCCTGCTAGCGACTCACCTGCGAAGGCGGCCCGGCTCACCATATAAATAATCCTAAAAGTGGCTGGGAGCCTCCCCTCCTCGAGGCCGTGCAACTCCCTATACACCCCCTCCGCCGCCATCAACATATCCCTCCCGATTGGCCCCGCCTCTCGAGCCAAAACAGCGTTCCCCTCCCCCATGGCATTGAGGTCGGCCATGAGCGCAAACACATCCGGGAACTCCACGACAACATCATCAACATCTATCGTCAACAGCTTAAACCCCGCCCTCTGCATCAAGCCTCCAACATCGCGGACATCCGCCAGCGGCGAAACCCTCGGCGACACACCGCCCCGCCGCTCCAACTCCACCAACTGCAATGACGTCCGCAATTCAAACAGAGTGTCCCCGCCCAGCATCGCGGCAACGAACGGCGCATCAGGCTTTAGTATCCGATTGATTCTGGAAAGCGTATACGGAAGGTCGTTTATCCAATGCATCGACAAGCTAGAAACCACCGCGTCGAAGGTATCCTCCGCGAACGGTGGTGCCTCCTCGTCCGCCACCACCCGTTCTATCGGCAAATTATCATTGAATTCCAGCTCCGCGTCCCGGTACAGCAGCTCGCGGCTCATGTCCACGCACGTCAGTTTCTCTAGCCGACTGCTTATCCCGAGTGGGAGCAGTCGGGCGATGTGGCAGGCACCCGCGCCCAAGTCTAGTATGTGCGGGAGCGGTCGCTGGATGTCCTGGACACGATCGATCAGGCGAAGGGAGATCTCGGATTTTAGGTAGTCGGTTGCACGACTGGCCGTCGGGTTTTGGGCGGACCGGCTGCGCTGGAGTCGTTTTGTTTGGCGGTTGAAGACCTGGTAGGTTGGATTTGGGGTTGCGGCTGCTGTGGCTAAGGTTCGAAATGCTCCCCCGGGGCGGGGGATGATGGGCGGTGGCATTTTATGTGTCGGATTGAGGAGGTGAAGGGTGGATTTCATCCGGGGGAAGTTGAAGCGAATGGTCTTGTAAGATCGCCTGGCTTGGTTTTAGGGTTAGGGTTCGTGTGGGGAGTTTGAATTTTGGTGGGGATGCCTACCGTATTACCGGTAACTTTACAGTCTCCAACGGGGCACGATGAAAGCTGGCGGCGAACAAGGATTGGTAAGAGGCATTTATCTCTGTTGCCCATTAACGAAATCACTTTTTGGCCCGTCAAATACCCCGGTTCGTCACCCGCCCGTACTCATCGTGCCCGGTTCAAGACTGTATGGAAACTTACTGTACTTGTTGCTCATGAGAGGTTGGATGCTAACTTGGGGAGAGTGTAAATACCATGGCGCCTGGACACCATGATCATCAATCAATATACTCGAGTATATATCCACAGACTCACAGGAGGAGTAGTAACTAAAGATCATAGAAAGTCACTCGCAAATCTGAGAATTTTTCAAGTTGTCGCGAGGGAGTTTGCTAAATGGGCCCACTTGAGTGCGGTAGAGCATACCCAAAGTTCGCACTGACAAAACACAGCCGATGTCATTAGTGAGTGAGCAAAGTTACACCGTTCCTGGCTAATATTCGCAACGTTTTTCTGTCGTTGGGCAGAGAATATACTAGACACTGCGGTTTCAACATACGGTGGCTAGCAGCCCAGACGTCGGACCGGGAATCGTGGGCTGAACATGCGCTCTCCGATCCGGCACTGCGATGGATGGTATTACATGCCATCTTCCCTCTCCATTTTCGTGGACTCCTGCGCTCCCCTGAGATTAACATGTACGTCCCGCAAATGATCTCGGGAGAGAAAGAGCCTAGGTTCAAGAGGCGAGATGCGTGGCTGGGCAGGCTCTGTTTTTTCATTCTTCGGACGGAGATAGGCCTCCTTCTACTCATTCTCGCAGCTCAGGGCTTGGTTTTTTTTTTCTCTTAAATGACAGATAGCCTCCTCCCCGAGATAATCGCAGGCACGATAGAGCACGCCCGCAGCACATGAGTCTTAAGTTTAAGATCCGCACCGCGAAGGCACGATTCATCCATTCTCGATACGATGGAGCTCTAACGACTCATTGTCTGCAACCCCCGGGGTTTGGTATCCGTTGGTGAGATAAGGTGCTGGATCAAACCCCTAAGATAATGCATTGTCCCCCCAAAATTTAGATACAGCGGCAACCGTTCTAAATCGCGAATCGGATGCGAACAAAAAAAAAAGAGGAAAAAAAAGACACTTATGAGCCTGGATCCTGAGGCTCTCCCGAGGGCATCGGTTCTTCTCCAGACTTCAGCCGTTTCCCCTCTGACACTGACGATTCTTCCATGGGTTTTGGGGAAGCTTTCCTGCGCTTTGGTCCGAGCAGGCCACGGCTCTGAAGCACACGTTCGACCTTCCGACCCGTGCCAATATTCCACTCCTCCACCTTGGCAGAAAGTTTCGCTTCAGTCCTCTTATCATCTAGCAGCATCTCCACAATGCTCGCATGGCCTTCGTATATAGCGAGAGCGAGAGCATCGTTACCTCTCGGAGCGCACGTAGCGTTAATGTCGAGCCTGCCGTCCTCCAGCAAGAGCCTAACTATCTCATCAACCCCCCGACGCACGGCACAGTGCAGCGGTGTCCAGCGATCGTGACCGAGCACGTTGATTTCAAGCCTGGGATCGGCCAGGAGCGCCTTGACCATCCCAACCTGACCCCTGCCAACAACCACGTGAATTGGTCTCCAGGAGAACTTATTCTCGACATTAACCTCGAGTTCCTCCCTCTCTAAGAACGCCTTGACCATGCCCTCGCTGCCGTGGACACAGGCAAGGTGGAAGGCGGCTTCCCGGTTGTCGTTCCAGCAATTGACGTCGACATCGCGGTACTCTAGGAGCATGCGCACCATGTTCTCGTTTCCATTCCATATCGCGCGCATCAGTGGCGTGTCGCCGGTCTTCTCCTCCTTCGAGTTGACGTTTATCCCCGCTTCTATGAGAGTGCGCACCGCAAAGCCCGGCTCGGTCACCACCGCGTTGTTGAGGAGGGCATCGTCGCCGGTGAATCGAAGGATTTCCCTATCCAAGAGCTTCGAGATGGCGGCAACGTTCCCGGTTCTCGCCGTATGGAGGAGTAGACGTTTGCCGTGGATGGCGGAGCGGTCGCGGAAGACGGCATCGACGAGGGATTCGTTGAGAAGGCGTGCGAAGCGGCGGTTGGTTATCAGGAAGGAGCGCAGGTCGCGGATTGTTTGGTCTCGAGCGATTTGTAGGATTATCTCGTTTGGGAGATTGAGGAGTGACATGGTTGTGGTTTTCTTCCTCATCCCCCGGAAGTGCCTGTCGGTGGAGTTGGTATCCTAGTTGTGTAGGGCTGAGTCATTGGGGAGGGTAGGGGGGAGGGGTTGGAGAGCTGAGCTTATCGTGCCTAGCTGTAGATCACGTGTATGATAGGAACTCTATTTGGTAACGGTCATAGAGAGTCACTCGCTTTACGGTTTACACTGCTGTGTATTTTGTGGTAGTGATTACACGAGGAATAGGCCTTGAGACCTATTGAGGAAGGCTCCGCACGATATTATGTATTAAGCTATTATTTATTAAGCTAAATGATAGGATCTATATCCTTCCCGGAGCCCCCCCCCCCCCGCTCTCATTCGTCACCCATTCGTCACCCATTCACACTTTCGAATCCTCCTTAGTTGCCAGCAAAAGCAACACATCCAGCAGCGATGTTGACGACACCATTCTGCAGAATACCAGTTAGCGACTGTTAATCTCCGGTGTAGGAGAGGGAAAACAAACCTGGCTCTGTTCGCTGGTGCAGCAAGCACTCTTAGCATTGCACTGGCTGGCTCCGGAGACGACATCCACTACCCAACCAATCAGCCACGCTGGATTCTCGTATTAAAAAGGGAGAAATATTGCTCACCGGCAAGCACATTGACGGGAACAGTGTTACACTTGACGGCCGTTCCGTCTAAAACACCAGTGTGGGAACCAACAGCCTTGGCGTCGCTGGCATCGTTGCAGCAGAACATCTCCTGGTTCTGCTTCGGGCAGCGCTGGCTCTTGTCCTCGAATTTGATGTTGTTGCTATGACCATCTCCACCGGCGATGGGGATTGCGGTGACGGCGGCGGCGAAGAGGATGATGGCGAGGGACTTGATGGAAACCATTTTTATGGATTTTTGGGGTTGGTGTTGGAAGAAGTGGGGAAAAAAAAAAGTGTGTATAAAGGAGTGTGTAGGTAAAAAGGAGTGACGTTGGGTTGGAGTAGGAGTAGTGATAGTGATGAATTGAGAGAATTGCTCGAGTGGATGGAGGACTAAAAAACTGTGACGGGGGGATAGGTACTTATACGCTCAATCTCACCGACGAAAACATATACTCGAGTATGCTATTAAATTTAACATCGGGACTATTCAGATATCAGCGTTCTTCCGAAGTACTCGTACTGCAGATTCTGGCCTTCACGGCTCGGGTGGGGTCCACCACTCGAGTACGATACAGTAAAAGATCACCCTCACCTATGATACCATGTCTCAGACCGCCCGCTGGTTGACTCTCTCCCTCCCTCCCTCCCGACAGACCGACCGACCGAGTGTGACGGGCCGGTGAGACAGTATTAGTAGGGAATGGTACGGGCTTGGCAAAAATCAATGCGGTACCGCACAAAAATTTGTCCGGCAATTGATCTATCGGGTACTGTACCGTTCGAGTACTGATCTCCGCACCGAGTAGCGGTACCTGCATGCCCCCTATCGTCACATGGATTTCTGGGAGGCGTTGATCGTCACTGCTCGACATGCCAGGTACCATGCTCCTCCGGTTTGATTGGTTGGTTTCTACCATGAAAGTATGATTATGGGAATAAATTTTTTTTTTAGCGGGCATCTTGGGGTGTTAGTCTTGATCCGCTGCGGATGGGTGAGACGGAGATTCCGTGATTCGTACTGACGGTGTAACTGGGGTAATTAGGCCGGTTCGAGATTTGGATTGGATTGCTTTTAGGGGTAAGTCTACTACTAAAGACGCCGTGCGCATCAACCGCGGTGTGGCAAACATATATATCTCGAGGTACAGTACCGGTATCTAATATTTTTTGAGCACTGTAAGGGATTTGAAGTTCGTGCTAGTGATGGAATATATGTGATAGCCTATTGTCCGTTGGCGCAGAAAGCTCTAGGAAAACAGCAGACATCGTATCATACGGAATCCAGACGTTCAACGGATTTACAGTAAAACAAAGCAGGGCTAGGACGAACAATTAATTACTTCATCAATCTCATCGCTTACCTAGCATTGTCTCGTCCACAACGCGGTTTGAGCGAATGAGCTGAGCGAATACCTACATTCAAGAGCTGGGTGATGACCTGTGGGCACAATACCCGACCCGCACATTCACATGCGCGAGAAGTTGGATGAGACCTGCATTGGAACTGACTTTGAAGGCTCCGGGAAGGCGGCGATAGTCTCAGTATTGGGAGGCAGGAGTAGGAATCACTATGCTGTAGACATTCTGCTTGCAGTTGACATTGGAAGGCTGCCATTTTATTGTACCTTGCGATAAGTAACTGAAAATATGACTCTCGTTACACGGTCACCCGACCAGTGAAGAAAAGAATTAAAATTAAAAACCTCCCTGTCTCATTTTCAGATACTTTATTCAAGATACCGTGAGTAGTTCTGCGTTAGGGGGGGGGGGGGTCATAACAGCCGATTGACGGCATATAGACTTCTGGGGTTTAAAGTTGCTACGGTATAGGCTCCAACAACAATCGAGGTTGGGGGGACAATTTGATATACTGCATTTCTAGGATTGGTGCACATGAGCCCTTCTCATAGAAGATCTATTGAGCAGGGAAGTCTTCCTAAGGGATCCATTGGCTTTTTGTTAAGCCACCCTCGGACATGAATTTAGCAGCTTTATTCCTCTCACTCACACACATAAGGCACTGGTTCTGGATCATCGGGAGAACTTGGGGAGTACTGTAGGTTTTTTTTTTCTTCTTCCCCCCGTAGAGTTCTTGCCTCCCCTGAAGAGTTGCTTTCCCCAATGTTCTTGGAGGTTAGTTCTCGTCGGTGAGGTGTAGGGCTTCAAGTGACGTTTTTTATATCTCCTCCCCTCACCCCAGCTAAGTTACAACTTGTCCCGGGCGGAAGATCTCCAGCTTCTTTTTTTTATTGCATTGTAATACGTTAGGTACTATACCGGTAAGTATAGTATCTCCTTTTTCTTCTCGACACAAGCTGGTATCTGGCTAGATATTACGGTCTGGGATTAACTTAAATGCTGGTCTGCTGAGATAAGCGTTCGAATCCCGCTTGCTAAACGCTTGGACCGAACTACAGGCTGCCGCCGGTGCAGTAGGCCGAGATTGGTGTTCCCCCGTGTCTCGGCGCCTGGCGTAAGACATTTGCGCGAAAAGCGTACCCAAGTACGAGTACTGTGCGGTGCCGGGGTCAAGTACTCGTACAATACCGTATCGAGGGGACCACAGTACCGGTACCCGGTAGAAAAAGGTGGCGCGGCGAGACAACACAGGTCGTACGTACTGTATCATACTCGTACAGTTCGTCGCAAAAAGGCCCTTCAGCTATATACAGTACCGTATCGGAACCACCAACCGGAGCTAACGAATTCGATTCATCTTGGGCGACGAATCGAGGGTAGTTCTTTGCCAGAGGGAAAAAGGGGTACTGGAGCGGTGACCGGGATACTTGCTGGAATATTGTCTTAACTTGCCTGTCAATTGGTGAAATTGTACCCTGGCAGAGCACTTGTCAACTTACACCAGAAGTGAGCATTCTCGCGACTTCGCGACGATGTCTTGACCACCTCAATTTGATTGCCGGCGTATATCACCGCAGGGGATTAAGAGGTAGTACGGGCTTCACAAGACTTAAAAATTTCTGCTGAATTACTGGTAGACTTGTCTCGAGTTGTCGGCAGAGCTGAGGGCTCGGCGCAACTATTTCGACTGGACTGGAGCGAATAGGGTGAGCTAGGCTTCGTTAGGTTAGTTAACGAGATGAGTGACATTCGTGGAGCGGGTAAAATGGAGGGTGGAAACATGTCTGGGCGATGACTGCATTCTTGCGGCGTCTGGGCTACAGTAGTACTAGTATAGCCCGCACGTAAGCGGGCTGTAGCGATCCGGTGGACCTAGATTCTTTATAGGGGAATTTATGGCCTAGCGACTATTTGTACTATGGTACCGTAGTACCGAAATTACTTCCCCGGATCGACGGCGAGCTGGGGTTGTTGTTGGCCGGCTTGGACTAGTGCTAGTCCGTCGGTTAGGGCACCGGCACAAGTAACTAACTTTAACTTATATTCTTAACTTTGGAGCCGAGTGCACATCTACCGGGTCAGGTGAGTGATCGTTAAATTTATCACTCGGAGAGACTCTCATCTTGGCTAGGCATGTCTGAGAGCTAGCGGCGCCTGCGTCAGCGCCATCGGCAGTAGTACTCAAGTACTCGTTCAAGTAACGACAGAAATAACGCTAGTACAGTAACAGGGTATTGCTCCATTGTTGAGTACCGTAAGAACTCGAATAATTGAACCTCGCGCTAGAACGTTCAGAATTCCCTCTCCTGGATAGGGGGCTGAGAGCACTGCGAAAACCGACTCCCCGAGCCCCTGCTTGAGATAAAAGAAAAGTAAAAAAACACCGCACCATACCAGTAGAGGCAACACCGACGTCCTAGCTCCAGGTTCAATTATTCGAGTTCTTACGGTACTTGTATGATGATCGTACATTTTTCAGAGTGATAATTTCTGCGGAGCATAAGTGACTCAGTGGTGATGAGTACCGGTACCTTAGGATGCTAGGGGGGTTGAACCTGTCGGCTTCGGCTTTTACCAGGCGGTTCAATTGTCTAGTTTACCAACTTGCGGCGGTACAGTGTGAACAGGTACTGTACGTGGATCTCATTGGATGGTGTTATATTCAATATCTGAAGAGCTCTTGTTGAAAGTAGCTTACTTCAAGTGAGTGCTAGAGATAGCCCCTGAATACCGGTGGCAGGGTTGGATGATTGGAGCGTACCTCTGCGTTCCCGATGTGTTTACAGGACCCGGTGATGTGACTATTTCCAATGAAAGAAAAGGCTGTCTTTTTACGAGTAGGATCGCGCTCAAAGTGGATCTAGTTGCTTCGTAAGGGTGTGGTGTCTTCATCAAGATTCTCAAGATAATATTAAGCTCAATTCCGAATCGCTGGACTTTGTGAAAAGCAAGATCCGTAAAAACGCCTGTCTTTGGGCAGATACGGGGGAGCTAGCCGACTGGGATTCCCTCGTCTGGATGAGCTGATCCAGATGTTTTCTATGGGCTCGGAATCCTTTGGCGGTTATGCTGGGTGTAAGTTCCCGGTGCACGGATTTCGCTCGGGATCCTGGTGATAACGGAAAAGTCCGTCTCCGCTCTACGATCGACCCAACGACTGAAGCGGACGGAACTGGGCCGAATAGCCTGCCCACCCCCCTCTGTGAGAAAAACGTACTGGTATGATACTGTAAAGGGGAGCGACTCATAATAGGGACATTGAGTATAAATACCCTCCCCCCTCCGTCCCTCCAGATCCCTCATCCACTCCATCATTCTTCACAACTCCATCACCAGTACCAACATACTCCATTCTTCTCTATTTTCAAGCTTCACCTACCAATCCTCCAAAATCAAAATGGTTTCCATCAAGTCTCTCGCCGTCATCCTCTTCGCCGCCACCGTCACCGCAATCCCCGTTGCTGGTGGAGAAGGACATGGCAACAACGTCAAAGTCGAGGATAAGAGTCAGCGCTGCCCGAAACAGGAGCAGAAGATTTTCTGCTGCAACGATGCCAGAGATGCCAAGGCTGTTGGTTCCCACACTGGTATTTTGGACAGAATGGCTGTCAAGTGTAACATTGTTCCAGTCGATGTGCTTGCCGGTGAGCAATATTTCTCCCTCCGAACCTTTAATACGAGGATCGAACACAGCTAATTGATTGAATAGTGCATGTTGTCTCCAGTGCCAGCCAGTGCAGCGCTAAGAGTGCTTGCTGTACCAGCGAGCAGAGCCAGGTTTGTCCCCCCTCCCCCTCCTACATTGAAGATTAACAGTCGCTAACTGATATTCTGCAGAATGGTCTCGTCAACATCGCTGCTGGGTGCGTTGCTTTTGCCGGCAACTAAGGAGGATTCGAATGTGTGAATATGTTATGAGGAGGGCGGTTTTAAGGGAAATGGAGCGACAAGACCTAGTGTTTATATCTTAATTCATAATTATCTGTTTTGCTATGCTACCTTGATCCAATGTGCAAACTATTCCGTGAAGCGAATTTAGACTTCTACTCCTAACTTATGCCACAATCGAAAACGTCATATACCCAATTTATTCAATCTTTGGCAAATTATTCCTGGAATACTAGTACAATCTACGACCCGGAAGAACTCGATGAAAACACCCCTAGCACTTTGTTCACTGGAAGTCTTCAATCCCGAGGAATCACTTGTGCCATCCCCGACAGTAGAGGCAGTCTGGTATCACAACCCCACACGAAAATCTTGGCCACTATATCCGCGATGCAAAAGACACCTCCCTTCCACACTCTAGGCGTCGGAATCGAACAAGGGGCAAGTGACGTATAGCCACGGGCCATGAGTAAGCACTGAGGATTGAATCTCGTACGAAAGAGAAACCTATCGAGCAACTGCTAGTAAAAAAAAAAAACATGTATCTCGAGAGATGCTACTTTGAGCGTCGTCGAATACTGGGCAGCTATTTGTGGACTTAAGCCTCCACCGGGAGCAGGTGAAAAGGCAGCTTTTGCGCGGGCGCAATGTCCCACACGTTGTACGGCGGTCGAATATACATCCTCAAGCTACACTTTCTGATACCGCCCCGAGCATCCAGTTTAAAGCTCAAACCTCCTACTGTTGGTAAATCTCGACATCAATCCAGTCGTCTTGCTTGTTCGCCCTTCTTTTTTTCTTGTCCTGCAACGGGCCATGGCGGGTAATAGAACATAGCAAGAACAGGAAGAGAGAGCAGGAAGGAGGCCTTTCGGAATTTCAAATATACGGGAGAAGCAAGAAAAAAACTCCGAGTGGGTGCCGGAGCAGTCGGTACACGATAGAGGGCAAGTGCCCCACATGGAAGTGTGTGTACTAGTACTATACAACCGACAGCCCAGGTGGTGTTGTAGCTCGTATCATATCCGAAGCAATTGTTGGCCAACCCGATTGTGAGAAACATAATTTGGTTTCCGGCTCACTTTCTCATCTAGTAGCTATAGGAGTGGTGTTGTTTCGGTGAGAGTTAAAGTGGTGTTCGTAGTCGCCAAGAAGTGGTGTCGGGTTACCAATGGTGAGACCACAGTATGATACCTCCGAGCCCACCCCATCCCTGTACGCCACTGTCTCACTCCGCCGGGCCCGCTCCCCTACTCTAGTATGGCGGAGAAATGCGCCACTCCGAACACCGCTGGGGGCTAGACATGTTAGAATTGAAGACAGCCTTGGCTCTCCTATAAGGTACCGGTATAGTATTATCGGTGCTTGCCCATTCTAAGAGTATCCGGAAATCCTGGCACTGTTTGTGCCCAGCACACCCCAAGGTTTTCAGACACTTTTGGAACGGGTAAGCACAAGTACTGTACACTGCATTTCACAGACTAGATAATGTTGGTCGTTTTCACCGCTCACTATAGTTCTGCCAAAGCGGATCTGGATCGGTCAAGCCGAAAATAAATCGTCACCGAGCACCCAGGTCATCTCAGGACTCGGCAGGTGCATGCCCAGCAGGCTTGAAGGGTTCGAGCTTAAACCTAAACTTAGGCTATCATACATATGCATAACCATCTACGCAAACACACCGGAACTAGAAGCTGAGTGATAATTCATGACTGGCTCGCCCACTCCTCACTTCCACAAGAGCCATATAGTATCATATCAGTAACGTGGCATAACTTTATCCAACTGCAGAAAAAATACATTAAAAGAGTTCAGCAACCGGGATTCCCACATGGTCACCCACTGTAGTACTAACCGGTCGATACGATGCTTGTTTACCGCAGAGCGGACGGGATGCGAAATTTTCATCGTTCTATGGCCGAACACAACGGTTACTGCTCTTTTAGCAACTTTCACCACCGATTGGAGATGCAGCACACCTGGGTTTGCTCAATAAAGCACTCACGGATCGGGTACTGGGTTTCGAGGTGCAAATATAGCTCTTACTCGTGGCAAACAATGGATCATACGCCTGTCATCCCAGGGCGTCCACCAAACCATTAACCAACCAAAGAACCTGGCACTATTCGACTTGATAGGAACTATATTGCAGGGGGATCAAGGTATGTAATGGAATTTGGTATCATTCCTGCCTCACGATAGCTCTCACCGTCCACTCAATAAGCATAGAAAAGCTACTACCGGACACCGTAAAAACTACAATAATTAATAATCGGAAACGAAGTCAGAGCGTCCGGAATCCCCCTTTTTTGATTAAGGAGAGAAAATATAGCCAAAAAATTCACTTTCGGCCAATCAAATGGTGGATTGGTCATGATGTGGCAGATGTGGACAGCATTCGGGGCCATCCCACAGACTTTGTCAGGACCCGCAACTCCAACTCCCTAGCTAAGATCTCGGTTATTACTGGTCGTACGATAGTCAAAGGTGCTAGGAGTCGACTGGTAGCTTCTGTGTGGGCTGAAGAGAGCAAAAAAAAAAAATTTGGTGGTTGAAAAGTTGATTTTAACCGGCGTACAGTAAATATACAGCAAGAAACAAAACGTCGTACTAGTGAGTACAATAGGGTCAAAGATGTCGCAAAAGCAGCCATATCACAGATATTCCTTCATTGTTGCCGGACCCCGCAGTGTTCAGCATACAAGCCAGCATCGTGTCCCATCTTGGCATAATTTCTAGTGCACGTTTAGAATATCTCGCTATAATAATGGTCCAGAGATATCTCCAATTCCCCATTGGAAGTCGCTGGGTCAAGGTATCCTTATATTAATGGCAAAGTTGTAGACTAGCTCACACTAGGGCTATTCAAGATTAAGAGTAAAAAACTAGTCAAGGATTAAATTATTGTTTGGAATTTAGCAGAGTATCTAAACTAATATATGTAACCTTTCTACTGCATAACTTGAGCAATGAAGATTGGACTCGATGAAACAGTATCAAAAGGCTTCTCCATTGGAGATTAATGAAACCACTAGCAATAGCAAAACCTCTGAGCCAAAAAATAAGTCTCCGGGTAGACCAATAATAAAACAAAACATATGAGACAACTGGCATGGCTCCTGGCCCTCCCCACTAACACCAGGGAGCTATCTCCGAAATGGGGCCAGTAGGTATGGAAGTAGACTTCTATGAGCCTAACCTCTCCAAACAAAAAAAACCAACAATTGGGGAACCACCATACACCCCCCCCCCTTGAAAGCCTGAGCCTGGGTGTTCAATTTAATCATCAGGTGGGCCTCTAGCAATGCTTACCCTTATAGGTGCTGAGCTACCTTTGGTGGTCAAAAATGTATTGTTGATTGGCTGGTGCAGCCAAGTCTGAATGAATGAACCCCCCCCCTTAAGTGACGGTAATTGAGTTCCTGTAGGGATACTACCGCTTAGGTAGAGATCCTCACCATAACCGCAACCCCTCTGGTTACCTCCTTAAAGGACTTTGGACTTGTTAGTAATGTTGTGACTCGGTTCCATATCCAGGGTCCCTTGTGGTATATAGATTTCATATCTATAATCCGCAATCTATGGCCGCAGGTTCTTGTTAGACCAATGCTGTGTCAGTGTGTGCAGTGTTCCTAAAGGGCCATGTAGGCTGGACCGAACCAAAGCCAGGCCTAGCCAACCATGATTGTCAGGGATCTAGCCTAGCCGGAGCCCACAGGCTTTGGAAAACCTGGGCAGGGTCCAGCTATAAGTCATATAGTAGGCTTAGTATCTGCCGCCTGATAGGTTGACCTGGCCTATGTGATCTGGCCTGGTCTATCCTGTGAAGCTGGGCCTGTAATCTCTTCATATCTTTGGTTCCCATTGAGCTCATATTTCATTCCACTAACTGTTCCAAGTTACTCCGGTGAGAATGGTAAGTTGTACAGAGCCCTGAAAAACTCCACACATTGGTTCCAGTAGACCAGAAGGAGTATCGGTAAGATCACTAATAGTCCTGGGTATTGAACCTAAGTATAGGTAGTGATGGATTTGCTTGCTGTTGATGAACCTCCCCGAGGTGTAATGGGACCAAGTCAACAGTGGCAGGCACATTTGCTAGTGGATTCAATCGAATTCCTGCAGAAGAAACCGAATTGGAAGAAAGAATTGTGCGATAGGACTGTCCTCAAACCCGGAGGTGAATTGCCTAGACTTTGTTGAGTTGGTTGTGAATCGCTCCTAATGTAGGTACTTCAACCAACAACTGAGGAGATAGATGAAAATTTAGTGATAAGCCACAATGAAAGTTGTAAAGGATCGAGCCACCCTTAAATCAACCGGTTCGAAATCCGGAATGCATGCCTGATAGGCTCCTGTAGGCTAGCTAGGTTCAGCCTATACCTTCCTAGGCTCATTGTCGGAGCAGTCTTCTGTGGCCTGGCCTATCAGTTTCCTAGCCCATTGGAAAGACTGAAGTATATATGCTGTGTTCAGTCATGTCAATAACTAATATCTTTGTGTGGTCGCAAAGGAAGACGGCTACCCATGAGTCGGAGGAGAAAGGTGGGAGAAACTCCTTTGTATAGGTAGACTATCCAAAAGGGTTGGCACTTTCTATGAAGAAAAGAAAATAGAATTCACAATCAAGAAATTAAAAGGGTTCAGGGCTACGAGCAAATTAGCCCTGGTTTCTGGGTATGGATTGGAACTGATGGGGAGATCGCCATGCTATATCACTCAGGAAGGGGCTGGCCATTGCAGATCATATGATAGGATAACATACAGAAGGTTGCCTTTAATATAAACGATACGGCGATATCTGCCGGCTTTGTTTTTGCCCCCTCTCCCCGACTTTCACTTTACCCTACCTACGGTAGGTGAGGCTAGATCGGGTTCCATCATCAGGGGAGTCATATATTATCACTCGCGTATAGTGTAGAATTCGTGTTTATCCCTTCCACTAAGGCATGACAGTGGGTATTCTATTCCCCACTATCCTATTCGCAGTTTTCTAGCCCACTTCCATCTTTCTTCTCTTAGCCCGTGCCCTTACCTGGGTCAGCTCCCCCCCCCCGATTTCGCATCGTTTATCGGGAGGTCTATTTGAAAAAAATGCTCATGTACAAACGTTCCTCCATTGCTCCCAACACTCTAGGATTAATTTGTGATAGCAGGAAGTTCCTCTAACCTCTGCTAGTGCTCACCATAGTAGCCGTGTCTCCAGGCGTGATTGAAACTCACCTTTATACCGACGCCATATCTTCCAGGGATCTAAAGGCTCAACCCTGGCTTAAGCAAAATCTTTCAATATCATCTTCTATATTTTCAGCAAAGAGCGTTGTTAGATGAATTGGGATTGCGTGAATCGTCCCAAATACTACCTTCACCACCCACTCCTCCCTACTTACGGTGCTATCAGTCATTGAACATCAAGGCACCCATTTCATCCCCACCATAAGCTAGATTTGTTTCTTAAAAATGTGAAGCCTCCAGTATTCATTTCACTCTACAGTGCCCTACTCCCCCAACTTGGTCCTGGAATTCCTTGGAATGCCCGAACACAATTCTATACCTTTTGCAGCCTTCAAGTTTCAACTAGCCGAAAGCCTGTAGGGATGGACCTATAACCTAAATCCCGCCCAAGCAAGGAACCCAGACAAAGAGCTCGAACTACCAAGAGTTCCCACAAACCGATATTAAAATTGGTAAATTTTCCGGGGGGGGGGTGCTGCAGTAGCAGATCATAAAAGTGATGCTCTGTAATTCTGGTCTCTGAAAGTGAGACTTTATGCCTCGTATTTGCTTCCGTCCCGGGGCGGTAAGCGAGATCTGCGAACACTAGAATAGTATGATTGATACAGAGATGGGAGGTGTGATAATGAGCGACCGGCTTTTCCGAATGGTAAGATAGAGTCCAGAGTTTCACACGAACTGAGTAGGGGCAGGCGGAGCCCCCAAGTTGGGTTCTTGAGTAGAGATAAGACTGGCCCACCAGCTAGCTTACTCCCCCTCATGCTCGTAATTCTACAGCCGGCATTCCCCAGGGGATTAGTAAATGCCAAAGCCTAAAGAGAATGCAGAAACCGGAGGGGCGATCACAGTGAGTAAGGGTAG